GTTGGTTATTGCAACCTCGACAGCGTTTTTTTAACTGATTGTTTTCAGAAACAAATTACCAACCCAAGCTCTGAAAGATCACAACAGCTCCCACACACTTGAGTGCCTAAGAGCGAGAACAGCTCTAATCATTCATAATACACACTAAAGAGGTTCATGACTGAACCTCTAAACATTTCATTCCATTAGAGCACGTGTCAAACTCCAGGCCCGCGGGCCAAATGCGGCCCGCCAAGTCATTTTGTGTGGCCCACATGAGTGTTTAATTGCCTTATAATAAAGTCCATCCTGCTGAGTTTCTTAACTAAATAATTAATAATAAATATTTTGTTTATTACACAGCAATGTACAATATTTGTAACTTGAATAAATAATAACCAATTGCAGAAACGTGTAGTCATACATTATGGTGTAGTTACATCTATACAGTCGTACAGTTACAACCGGCCCTTTAAGGGGAACTGTACTGTTTTTCTGCAGCCTGTCAGGCAATACTGAGGTACGGAAAAGTCCTTAACTGCTGCTTCCTCTCATCTTTTTGCAGACAGACTGGGAGGTAGAAGCACTGTGTTTACATACCACACTGACAGTTGGCTAAACAGCACCAGATGCCCAGCCCGGACTCTTTAAAACACATAAACAAGCCCACAATTAAAGCCTCATGGGCACCATCACTGACAAATCCTATGATTCCGAGGCATCACGTTTCATGTTGATCTGACCAAACTGATATTTCCATTCCAGGTCCACACAATTTTAGAGGCCATCCATCTTCACGAGTGCGCAGTGATTAAGCAAAATGTCAATTCAATTACAAGTGTAAGCTGAGTCTCGCAAAAAAAAAAAAAAAAAAAAAAAAAACCCGGGGATGTAATATAACGTCAAACAAATTAGTTTTAGTCAAGATGACATATTTGTATTTACATACAAATATATAATATAAATATAATAATAATATAAATTAGGAATGTCAGATAATATCGTCCGTCGATATTATAGTGCAATTATGTGATATCGGTAAAAATCGTTATCGGTTTTAACTCCAATATTGAAAACGCAAAAAGGCTAATACTAATGCTAATTTGTGGAACACCGTTAGTGGGACCTCACAATAACAACAAGAGGAGATATATGATGTGACCTAGAAATTAGTTTAGGAAAAAAACGAAATGTTATCAGTTTTACCACCGATAATGAAAATCCGATTACGCAATGCCTGGGTTTTGCCAAATATACCGGAATATCCTGTAGGATCCAGAGACGTTTGCCACAGTTTTGGGGGGAAGGGGCTGCATATATCGGTATTGGTTGATATCGGAATCGGAAATTAAACGCTTGGACAATATCTGTATATCGAGTATCGGCAAAAAGCCAATATCCGACATCCGTAATTAAAATACATAGTTTTATTTGTTCTGCAACTTCATTGTGGGTTTTATTTTTCATTAGTCTAAATTCTGGCCGGCGGGTTCCTTTCAATGCAAAGCTGTCAAGACAAAATTTACTAGGAAAAAAAAGTGCGTGCCATAATTCCTGATGACAAAGCAAGTGCAGCCTGCTCCACGTCCTTAAAGTCTGATTTACTACGACAGCAGCTTCTTATAGACTCAGCCAGTCTCAGGACTTTTCCTCGGTGCTACCCTCCAGACACACAGCTTGCAACACGCGTTAATCAAGTTTATGAGACACCACAGCGTCAAGAGAGCCAAAACAAATGATAATGTAGTTAGCGTAATTCCGGGTTGTTTGGAAATGCACATTTATGAAGCAACGAATACAGGTTAAAGAAAACAGAACCTTAACTTCAAACATGTCTGAATACATAGTGATAAAAGTAGGGGTGCACATTTTTTTGGGTCATTACGGTTTCCGATTTGTTTTGGCTGATGTTTCGGGCGTGATTCAAATTGAATTCATTCGACAGTCTATGTAAAAGGTGAGAATTATTGCTATAAACATGAACTGCACCTTCGGGACAAAGCGCAAGTCCAAGAGCTAGCATAGTTCCTCCCTCTGTCAGCATCTTCGGACCTGTTTACAGGACGACGATACAATATGACGACAGTAGCCTCCGGATACGGTGCAAACAAAAGCTGCGTCTAAACGGAGCCACAGAATACGACTCTGGTACTTGTAGTTCATACGCCAGGCCTGTGTGTGGTGCTGTGTCAACCACGCTCTTAACACTGAATTTGAAGAAAAATCGGAAGTAGTTTGTCGCTGAGCCTTTGTCATCCCGTTAAATATGGACTTACCGGGATACAACTTATTAGGCTAGAATTTTACCGTATCATCAAAGCTAACCCAAACTCATATCGCAAGAGTTTACCCTGGATATTAACTGTGTTCAGAATGTATTCTATCTTAGGCACGAGATTTTTTTTTTTTCATGCCTTCCGTTTTTGTAGAGATTCTGTAGACAATCATTACCGCCAGGTTTAGGCCATTATGGACGGTCACTGTCCATCAGTGTGTGGGCGCTTTGGCTACATATTTTCTCGCCCTTTGATCCAGCACTCACGCTGAATCTGTTACTGAATGAGTCTGCAGTGTGGACATAAAATTTTCCTTCGCTTAAGTCGGTGGCAGAGAGGGAACATTTGTTTTTATTGATTGCGCAAACCAGACTTGTTTTTTTTTTTTTGTTGGCATGTCACATTTGTTACGATGCGCTTCCCCGCATACTGAGCCATGGAGGACTTCAAATTTCTTAAAAATTGTTCAAAAATGATTCCCCGCATACTGAGCCATGGAGGACTGCAAGGTACCCGAGTTATCAAAATTTCTTAAAATTGTTCAAAAATGTCACATTTATTTTTTATTTTCATCAATGTGAAATTTTCAAATTAGTTTTTTGCTAAAACGTGCGTATCTGGCTACCACTATTGCTACATTTAAGTAGGGATGCACCAGTACTGGTAGCGGAGTAAGTATTAGGACTGGAACTCGATATCGACCTTTTACCACAACTCAACATGCACCTAAACAGATCATCAATGTCAATAGCTTGAAGGTATTTTTACATTATGTTCAATAATAGAGCCCCCCCGCCCCCCGAAATGGTGAAAGCTCTGCTCACTTTCTGTCGGCGGTGTATACGGAAAAGCATGAGACTGCTGGAAAAAAAAAATCCTAGATGTCTTTCTGTGATGAGGGGAACCTACTTCAATATTTCGACGGCCTGTGGACTCCAGTCCAGTCCAGTCCAGTCAGGTTTGGATGGACAACAGAAGGTTCCGGTTGTGTCCTTACCTCAGTGTTTAAACCCATGTTACTCTGGGGAGATCTCTGTTTCCTGGTGCACAACCACTTTGGTGACGGACATATCTGGGTGCTGCTCCTTTGCCTCTTTAATGGCCTTGGCTAAAGCCTTAGAAGTCAACACAGTACATCAATACAGGGTCGTTAAAGCAGAGCACAATTTATGACTTTCATTTAAAATGACTCGCATTCAGCGTGGATTTTTGCCTGATATATGAACCGCAAGCCGTCCACGGAGCAAATTATGTCTGCGGACAATTCCAACTTCTTCAACGGCCAACGCAGGCAACTAGCAATGAACGAGCCGACAAGCGGCAACAAAATATCTCGATTCCTGTTTACTTGTTAGTAGGACAATTTTTTTTTTTACACTATATTCCTTACCTTGTCATGGTCAATCTCGGTGTCTCCTGTGATGACGATTCGCTTTTCTATGCGGGTTTCGGAGATTCCTCCTTTAACTGTCTACAATAGAGACAAAGCAGAAGCTGACATAGGAGCTCATAAAGGATCGCTCTTTAACAAACATGTGAGAACCCTAAAAACAGCTTAGTTTAGACTAGTGGTTCTCAATTGGATTCTGTTATGCCCCCTAGTGGACAGAATGTTTTTTCCATTTTCCCCCTAGTGGACAGAATGTTTTTCCATTTTCCCCACCACCCTGAATTGAAATACCACTGATAACCTGATTATATATATTTTCTTATCTGTACAAACCACTGCATGAATTGCTGCCACCTAGGCTTGTTTATCATTCAAGCATTACAACAGTGGTACATTTCTGTCCAGCGTGCCATATTCCATTGAAAGCCTCTCATGCCCAAACCATTGTATTCCATTGGAAGCCTCTCATGCACAAACCATCGTCCCCCCGGGGGGGCCCCGCCCCACTATTTGAGAGGTACTTCACACAATGTATTTACTGCAAATGACCGTACAAGTAAAATGGCAGGATGACAGTTTGGAATATTACACGCTGGAGGTATTAGCGGTGCAGAATCGAGCAAAAAACAAACATAATTCCCTGATAACTCCACATTCAACAGTCTAAAATGCTCAGGACCGTAGATTTAGTATCAGCAACGTGCAACCCCTCAACATCGGACGTGTAACACCAATAACAAAAAGGACCCAATTTCGCACCGGGGCCGTGTTTCTGATTTTGATCGAACGCGGCGACAGGCCATGCGCTGCCCTCTTAGTCACCCTCCAGCAGGCTCTAAAACAGTGGGTCAATAGCACCGACGTGGCGTGATTGAGAGCATCTGTTCATCACAGCGCAGCAGTAAATGAGTGTATTGACGTTATGAGTGTGAGCCTGTTAGTGCATTGAGCAGACCTTAGTGATCTGGGTGGTGGTGGTGGTGCTGATGGTCTCGGAGGTGATGGTTTGGGCACTCAACAGCACCCCTGATTCCCTCTCTGCCAGGTCGTCCACCGGCTGTGGAACAGACACCTTTTAAGTGTTAAACGACAATCCTCCATTATTGTATTAAAACGTAAGTGAGTTGTAGCGCTTTTCCTGGAAAGCAACAACGTGACTGTGCACCATTCACCTTAATGGTTAATCAGATTTGAAAATGCTTTTTTCAGGCGTCAAAAATGCATGCTCGGTTGCATAAACAGGGTAGACAACAAACAGGCTGCACTGTTGATGGCATGCTTTTCGAGCAGTAACGCGTTCCTCACATACCTCAGCATTTGTTGCAAAGTGTGTGGAAAAAACGAGAGGCAAGAGTTGCAACAAAAGCGCAGGTTAAAACGTCTTGAGTAAAAAGTACCTCAAGATGAACTGTGGCAGGAGTGGCAGAAAAGTATGTGAGGGGGTTGTTTAGGGTCATCCCAGCGCTGAGGTGCGCAGATGGAGGGACCGATTTGAGTAATGGAGTTGACAAATGACGGGCGTGGCGCTAGAAATTGCATAGCAATGACTGTGTGTGGGATATTTGCAGTTACTGACGATTTAAATTAATTCAAGCTAGCTATAACTCGCCATTTGTTTGCAAAGTGAGTCAAAACACACACAAAAGGCAAGAGTTGCACGAAAAAAAAACACAAGGAGAAGTTAAAAACAAGAAAAGCATCAATGATCAATGTCTTTGCTCTTAAGAAGAGAGAAGTTAAAAACAAGAAAAGCATCAACGTCTTTGTTCTTAAGAAGGACACGTAATAGGTTAACTGTGGCAGGAGTGGCAGAAAAGTACATGGGGGGGGGCAGATGGAGTGACTGATGGCTCTGAGTTATGGAGTTGACAAATGACTGGTCTAAGCTAAGCGTGTGGCGCTAGCAATAGAAACACGATTGTGCGAATGTGTACACGCAGTCACGTGTGGCGCTAGCAATAGAAACACGATGCAAATGCAAATGTGTACACGCAGTCGCAGTTACTGACTAATTGAATCAATTCAAGCTAACCTATCGGCCCTTTTCACGATATGTCCCACCTAAGTGTCAGGTACTGATTTGCAGTTGCACAGTTAGCAGTGCTAAGTTTTATGTTTGATTTATGCAAAACCAGCTGAGTGGCAAAAATTAAAACTTACGCTATAGAAAATAAAAAAAGAAAACTTTTTGCCTTTTAACCCTATTCCTATTTAGTCGATATATTTGTTAATATATATAATGCATTTAAACATTTTTAATACTAATAATACATTTTATGACAAAATGACAAACAGATACAGATATTATGAATGACCTGGGACACACAAAAAAAAAACAACAAAAAAAAACACACACACAAACACACTCATTTGGTGAGCACACAGCCACCAAATCCAAGCGTGCCGTAGCTAAACTACTATATTGATGCAGGAAGATTGCAGCGTTCTTCTCACCTGTGCTGACTCATATGTTATGGTCTTGGTCTCAGTGTGGACTAAGGGGATGTTCTTGTAGGTCAAGCTTCCTCTGAGGGAGTTGGTGACATCTGAGATGGTGATTGTCTGAGTCTTTAGCACGGGAGACTGGGAGGAAAAGACACAGGGTCAACAACACGACTCTCAGCCTCAGACATGAATAGCAGCCAAGACATAACCATAATGTAAGGCACACGTACCGACTGGGAGTACGCAGTTGTGTCGCTGAACCTTAAATACTGTGCAGCTACTCTTTTAGCATTACTTTACCGCATATGTACGTATGAAGCTCTTTTTAATTCATAATTCAACAAACGGATGCATTATTTGACTTTTGGTGCACTGCTGTGGACGGCAACGGTACTGCACAACCCCAGATCTTTCAGCATTACTTTACCGGATAGCTATGTTCTAGCCTAGCTTGGTGAAATACCTAAAAGTACATTTTGAAAATGAGCCATTTCCTAAGGAATGCAAAAGTTCCTTTTTTTTTCTCGGCTCAGTTACAGCCTTAGTTACACTGCTGTACGCCAAGACTGCTGGGGGATTTCCCATGGTGCGATGAGTCCCTTTCTGAAATGTTTAGTTACATATATATATATATATATATGTAGTACATCTAGCTCTGTTCTCTTGGATACTGTCTCCCCTCTTCCAGTAAAAAGGGAGAATTTTTTTTATCTTACTGTTGCTAATAACGCTGTTATATTCTGTGTTGTTATTGTTCATTTTAATACAGGGGGTATTTTTTCGGAGGATTTTATGTTTCATTTCGTTATTTATGTGTTGTTCATTTTAATACAGGGGGTATTTTTTCGGAGGATTTTATGTTTCATTTCTTTATTTATGTAAAAAAAAATATGAAGTCCAATGAGAATGAACAATCAAAGATAACTGCTCCTAATTTCCCAACGTCCTACAGTACTTATAACTAGGAAGCAAACGTGGCAGTTCCGTAATTAAGCTAATGGAAAATAATCAACAGAACTGTAAAAAAAAAAAAAAAAAAAAAAAAAAAAAAAAGAACACAAAGAAAAACAAGTTACTTTAAATTAAGCAAAAAATGTTTTTTTTTCTAATGGATTTTTTTTTTAAAGAACATTTTGGACCTGTCACTCCACTAAACAATTACTCTGAACTTCATACATAAAAAAAAAGAGAAATCTTGGTGTTTATTTACCTTGGTAATGACATTTTTTCGGTTGAATTATTTTTGCATCTGCAAACATGATATTAATCGAAAACATACATAGTGAGTTGGCAAACTTTTTGCAAAATATTTTCACCATCAAACCAGGAGCACGAGTCGGGACTAGGCAGTTCCAACAGACGAGTAAGGCTTAGAGACAAATAAAGGTCACCTCGCACTCTATAAACGGAGCTAGAAAACCTCTCAGTGGTCAAGATTGTATACGATAAGATTCTCCTTTTTATCACCTGGTTTTTAAGTAGTTTTACTCATAAACTCCCTAAGTTTAAAGGGATACGCACACGCACAGACAGACACACACACACCGACGTACGCCAAAATAAAAACACGAACCCAATCACATTTCCATAATTTATGGTTAAAACATGAACGTTTAGAGATCACACATACAGATGTTTTTATTGAAAACAAACATGACACACAGCTGTGGAGTGAGGCGATGCTAATGCTGCCGCATGTGTGCGAGGTCATCCTATTTTGTGTGTAGTTTTTCGAAAAAATTGTTTTGATATGTTTTGTGTAGCTACAGTTTGTGTACGTGTGTGTATGGGGAGGGTTTTCCGAAAGAAATGTATTTTAAAGTTTAAAAATGTTTTTTTTTAGAACTGGGATTCGGTTAGAACAGGCGTGAGCAAACTTTTTGACTCGCCACAATAGGTCTTAAAATTTGACAGGGGCAGATAGATGGAGGGTTCGTATTACCTAAAACGGGTGGGCCGGATAAAAAAGCCAAACGGGCCGCATCAGGCCCCCGGGCCGTAGTTTGCTGATGCCTGGGTTAGAAGCAGGGTACGTGTTTATTATTTTTCTTTAGGAGGTTAGGAGTTTGGGGCTAAGGTAGTGGTTCCAAAAGTTTACCCTCCTTCATTCCTCCGTCCACACATTCTAAGCTACTGCTTCAAAACTCGACTGATACCAATTATTTGCTAAAAAAAAAAAAGACGTTTCCGAAATGTTTCCGTTAGGATTATAGGGCATTATGGAACCAAAAATATTTTTTTTTCGTGTTTAAACTTTAGGCTAGGGGCTAACTCTGCGCCATCTATTGGGGAAATGTGGGTATTGCAGGGAAACGGCAGATGTATAATAATAATATAAATAAATTATATGATTTAAAAAAGGCCAGATTAAAACGGGCCACATCTGGCCCCCGGGCCTTAGTTTGCCTATGCCTGGGCTAACTGGTGATAGCCAAGGTCAAGGATAAGGGCCAGTGTTTATGTGTGTTAAGCGGTGAACCTGTTTGACTGATGTGTCTGTTTATTAATGGTGTGCTATAGCCTGGCCTGTAAAGCGCTAAAACTGTAGCAACAACAATTAGCCGTCCAGGTGCATTGCGAAAGGTAATCTCATAAGGATGCAAGTTTGCAAAAAAAAAAAAAAAAAAGGTCTTCAGTTTGGATTGTTCCCCCCAAACAGGGGAAGTCGGGTTTAAAAATGACACAGAAAGAGAGTGGTTTGAGGTAAAGGGCCAAAGCAGAGGTCGAACGAAGTCTCTCGGTGCCTGCACGTGTCGGCAGTATTTTCCGCGGGGCGGGCCGTCTTATCCGTCTTTTGTTTTTATTTTTTTATTTTTTTTAAATAAACGCAAGCCACAGCATAGTCAGCGCCATCAGAAGCAGTCCTGACAAAAAGAACGACATCCGGGTCTGCCTGAGCCGGGCGGGATTGAGCTCGCACGGGTTGACCAAGTTTCGCCTCTCGATCGGCACCTCAACGGCCACCCTGAGAGTGTGACCGAAAGCTCGATCGTCCTCTTCCTCCTCTTCGTCCTCGTCGTCCTCGTCCACCCAGGCGACTTCAGAGTCGTCCTCGTCGTCTTCCAACAGGCAGGTCTGTCGGTACAGATGCGGTCTCCCCGGCGCCGGAGACAAACTGTACGATCTTACCTTTTGTCCAAACAGAGACGGCCTCCCCCGCTGTGCTCGGCAACAGCAACAGACCAAGAGAGACAGATAACAATGAACAGAGAAGTGGAATATGGTCAACTGACAACAGAGGACGCTCAGAAGGGACGGGGGTGAAGGGAAGACGAGGGGTAGTGCTGGAAGGAAGGGAGACGGGTATGTTTTTTTTTTTTCTTGCTCTATACCGCATTGGTAGCATCGCAAAGATAAGGGTTTTAAGCCTGGTTTTTCACAGGTTTGAGTTATGGGGGAAAAAAACCCCAAATGTGGTAACATCTAGTAAATAGAGTAACTGCTATAGAAATGTAAAAAAAAAAAAATCAACTGACTATTAATTACAAACATATCGGCGCCCCTATAACCGCGCCCCTTTCCATAAATAAGCCTCCCGTGACAGGAACAACGTAAATTGGCCTGTATCATTTGCGATTTCTTTTCCGCAAATATTTCAAATAAATGCCTTTAGGCATGTGTCTACTCTGATATGCTGTTCATTTATTGCAAAAAAAAATAAATAAAAATAAATGTTGACTCTGTGGTGAAACTACAAATATGTAGCGGCGGGGTTAACGTGACTCAAGGGAGACACCAGCTGGTCAGAGGACAGTGATGCTACCTGACCTTCGGTGTCATTGAGGTACAAAGGGGAAAGGGGGATAGAGGGGGGACGGGGGGGGGTGATGGAGCTGACAGGTTTACATTGGGGCATAACCAGGTCCGCACTTTAAAGAGGAAAAAAGAAAAAAAAAGAAAGGAAGAAAGAGGGTGGGGTAGGGTAGAGGAAGAGGAGAGGGGAGGGGAGGAGAGGGGGAGAGGGGAGAGGAAAGAGGAGAGGAGAGAAAAGGAGACGAGAGGAAAAGAGAGGAGTGAGGAAAGGAGAGGTGAGGAGAGGAGAGAGAGAAGAAGAGGGGAGAGGAATGAAGAGGAGAGGGGAGGAGAGGTGAAGACAGGAGAGGAGAGGAGAGGAGAGGAGAGGAGAGGGAAAGAAGGGTGGAGAGAAAAGGAGGAAGAGGAGAAGAAGGGAGAGGACAGCAGAGGGGGAGAGAGGAGAGGAAATGAGGGAGGAGGAGAGGAGAAGAGAGAAGAAGAGGGGAGAGGAAAGGAGACAAGAGGAAAGGAGAAGAGAGGGGAGGAGAGGAAAGGAAAAGAGAGGGGAGGAAAGGAAAAGAATAGAGAGTAGAGGAGGGGAGAGGAGAGAAGAAGAGGGGAGAGGAATAAAGAGGAGAGGGGAGGAGAGGAAAGAAGGGTGGAGAGAAAAGGAGGAAGAGGAGAAGAGAGACGGACGTGGCAGAAATACAAGACAGACACAGGAAAACACATAGACATCCAGGTATGGACAGATGCAGGAAGGAGTAGTTGGAGGGTGAGAGAGATGGGGGGGGAGGGAAGGTGCTGTCAGTCTTCCGACCACTTACACAGTAATCCTTCTTAAGTCTGGTTTTTTTTTTTCCCCTGTGTTCATCTGTGGTCTTTATCAGGCATTAGAGTCATGCAGCTTTGACAATCCTCGTGAAAAACCCGGCCATGCACCTGGATCAGGAAGCGTGAGTGAAGCTTGCAGTAGCCATTCAGAGCGCAAAGGCAGCAGCTTATGGTTCAAGGGGTTTGGAATCCAGGACCAGGCACCTGAAAAGGTGCCAGTATGCTTCAAACTAAGTGTCAGGGTGTCGAGCGCTACACTCGAGACGTCATCTCCGCAGGTTGATCGGAGAAAAAAAAAAAAAAAAAAAAAAACGCGGGTTGAGGGGAAAAAAAAAAAAAAAAAAAAAAAAAAAAAAATTAAAAAAAAAAATTTGGGAACTTTTCTTTAACCAATTGTGGCGCAGTGGCAGCACTTTTAAAACTTTGAAATGATTTGTCGCCTGTCGCGGGAGAAAAAAAAACAAAAAAAAAAAAACAGCGTAGTGTCCAGACTCGGTGAAAGTCGTCCAAAATCCGAATCCCCCTTCTTTTCTCTTCTCTCTCTCTCCTACGACAGAATCCGTATAAATACCCATGGCCTCCAGGCGTTTCGAGAGAGCCGTTACTCTGGCACAAACTGTCAGGTTTGAAGCATACTGAACCCTTAATGCAACAGCGGCACGGGGATCTGTTGGAAGATGGAAAGCTGCTTATTAGCTGAAGGGTCAGAGCGGCGGCAGCCTCCGGATGTCATTGGTTACGACGCCGGGGGAACGGAAAAATGCTGAGGAGCGCCGGCGTTCGCAACCTGCGGCAGAGATCAGAGCGCCTTTACCTCTGACGCGTCATCGACTACTCGACTGTGCGCAGCCCCAACTGTGGGCATCCTCTCCTGCGCACACACACACACACACACACACACACACTATCTTCACAGCGGCAAAATAAAGCAGGGAAAACATTTTCACAGTTGTCTGGTGTCATATCATCGGGTTGAAGCAGTGGAATGATGATACGGAGGAAAAGCGACAGCACCACCACGTGGATGATCGATGTGCAGCGCGGTATCGTGATATTCGCAACTAAATGGTGTAAAGTTGGTGATGATAAGAATTAATCATTTGAACTTTATTGATTCCGCACTTCAGAGATTTACTGGATTTGCCGGAGCAGGCACCAAGTATTGCGTTTTCTGGACTATAAGTCGCACTTTGTTTTAATCCTTTGGCTGGGTTTGCGACTTATACTCAGTTGCGACTTATACTCAGTTGCGACTTATACTCAGTTGCGACTTATACTCGCTTGCGACTTATATATTTTTTTTACTTATACTCAGTTGCGACTTATACTCAGTTGCGACTTATACTCAGTTGCGACTTATACTCAGTTGCGACTTATACTCGCTTGCGACTTATATATTTTTTTTAAAATACAGTGGAACCTCGGTTGTCGAACGCCTCCTCTTTCGAACAACAAATGCGGTTTACGAATAAAACCTTTAACCAAAGATTGCCCCCGTTGTCGCACCATAACTCGGTTGCCAAACAAGCCAACAATATCAGGCAGGCAACAAATGATCACTGAGTGACTTAGCGCGTGGCGTCAGTCTTGCCTCAGCCCGCTGAACAAATGATCACTGAGTGACTTAGCGCGTGGCGCCAGTCTTGCCTCAGCCCGCTCTCGGGATATACGCGCTAAGAACTGTTGTGGCTTCACGGTATGGCTTAGCAAAGTCGTTGATTTGTACGACTATCATTAAGAACAAGAAGCAATAAAAGAAGCTAAAGTTGCCGAAGGAGTGACTGTGATCACCGAGCAAAGATCTCAGACATTAGAAGAAGTGGAAAAGTTGCTACTTATCCGGATCAACAAAAAGAAGTTGGCCGGCGACAATATTTCGGAGACAATAATTGCGAACATTGCGCAATAGCTTTGTTCTTTATTTAGTAGTGTTTATCTTTTTTTGTTAGATTAAATGTAATGTAAATTATTTTCATTGGTTTAGTGTATGAACTTATAAGACAAATTAAATACTATTTAAAAACGCATTTATCCCTTTTACATCGACTCCTATGCTGAAAATGATTTCGGTTTTCAAACTTTTCGGGTTCACGAACGGCCTTCAGGAACGAATTAAGTTCGCAAACTGAGGTTCCACTGTATCTGCTGCTCCTGTACCACTGAAAATTGACATGTTCGTTATTTTCACACTGAAAGCCGCTAGAGGGCACTCTAACTGGCTGGTGCTACTTATACTCAGGATTGACATATATGGGGTTTTTTTTTTTTTTTTTCATTATGCATTTTTTTTTGGCTAGTGTGACTTACAGTGCGGAAAGTACGGTATGGGGTTCCTCTGGGAATCAAACCCAAGACTACCTGCTCTGTGATTTTGAGCTGAACTAGGAAACCACTAACGATTGACAGCTACTCAGATTAAGCAGTTTGTTACTGCATAATCGTTTATTGTTGATTAAATACTATAAATATCTGCTGCTGCGTCAGTATAAACAAAGACAACGTACATTTTCGGTTCATACTGACACAACTCCACCTTAACAATACTGCTAAAATCTTATATTACTTTTGGGGGGGGTGGATGGATACAGATCATAGCAGTGGTTCCCAAAGTTGTAATTTTGTTCCCTTGGTTCAACGATAACTGCAGTTTTGTAGGAATTGTTTGGAAGCAACGGCTGTGAATATGTCAGTGTAATAGTTATCTACGAAAAAGGATGCGTTGCAGATTAAAGTTCGGGAACCACTGGGTTTAGGATGCATTCGAAGTAGCAGCAAGAGGAAATGTAAGAGCCGGGCCTTTCAAGCAGAAGAATTACTTATTATTATATGAAGACAATCTAAAAGCATGGCTTACAAGCATGGGTTTTTCTAATTTGAGACTAAACAGACGACATAAGTTTTAAGACTATTATTTTAGCAGAAGTAAAATAAATTGCCACTGCGAAACCTCTGCTGGTTTTAAATGTTTGCCTAATAGAATTGAAAGGGAGAAAATTTTTTTTTTTTTTTTTTTTTTACGCCCTGTTTATGTCGCAGTGGTGCTGAAGAGAACGCTAATCTCAATGGGTTTTTTTTTTAAATGAATTTGCAATTCAATAGCGTGTGGTGTCAACTGTGTAAACAAAGCAATGTCGAGAATATTAGCATACGGCTAACACACTAACAGCACTGAACTATCAGAGTGATATTGTTCACTTTATCAATAGAAGCAGGGGTCCCCAACCCCTGGTCCGCGGACCGGTGCCGGTCCGTAGGTCATTTGGTACCGGACCGCAGTGGGACACAGTGGAAAAAAAATGTAGAAGAACACAATACATAATATAGTATAAAACATTGTTTCCCAAAAACTGGGTCGCAACCCTCAAGTGGGTCAGAAGAGATATTTTTGGGGTCGTCTCGCATGTTTCCCAGGAGTTTACGAATAATGTCTATTGAGTTGGGTCGCAAAGGTTTGGGACTTTGAAAATATGGGTGCCCAAAAACAAGTTTGGGAAACGCGGCTCGGCACCTTGCTACTGATCTGCAGTAACAGGTGGTAGTGGCTGACCAGTCCTTGGTACCAAAAAGGTTGGGGACCTCGGAATAAAAGGACTGTCACTGCAGTACGTCTCTTTACCAATGTCCAGTTAGAACTGCAAGAGTAGATTAGCACATCATTCAGTGATGACATTTCTGTCAACGCTGCTAGACTTCTCCGTATCACTTGCACTATAGTAATGACAAAGCACGATTTCTTTTTTCTCAGGTCGTCGCACTTACCGACTGGAGCTGACCGTTGATGTTCGCCGTGCGGAAAGGCGAGTTAGTGGAAAGACGCTTGTCCCACTCGCTGGGCCGCGGCTCCGGCACGGACTCCATGAAACTCCTCTTCAGCTCGCTGATGCTAGTGTGATGACGCATTATCTCGGTCTGCGTCTTATCCAGGTCCTTGAGAGACAGAATTGAAGAGTCAGAACTGATAGAGATTGCGGGAAGGGTTGATAAGACAGAGAAGGGCAGATAATAAGTGTTGATGAAAAATATGAGAAAAGGGTGCAAAAAAAAAAAGGAGGGCATTGACAAAATCAAAATAAATGACATGAATCAATAAAGCACCAAGAAGACACAATGACATCATCAGGGCTGTCGTATTTTTTAGCTGATGACATACAGCATTAAGGTCGTCACAGTAAGTCAGAGGTTCCCAAAGTGGGGCGCACGTCCCCTGGAGGGGCACAGTGCCGTTGCAGGGGGAGCGCAGATGAAATGAATAATTGACGCAGAATAAGTAACGCAGCATATTGACAAATGGTCAACAAGAGACTGGCAAAAAAAAAAAATCTCACTCTTGCGAACTGACCAAAGTTGGCAATGCTAGCATAACATTGACAAGTTTAAGGTGCGTAAAAAACAGTTACATTTCAAATATGTGACATAAACAAGTCAGAAAACAAAACGTGGTTTGTTTGTTTTTTTTTGGGTGGGGTTGCACGAAAAATTTTTATGAACCAAAGGGGGGCCCAGAAAGTTTGGGAACCACTGCACCAAGTAATACATGGCAGAGGCTAGGGTAAAGTCAAGATTTCAATGTACTTTTGAGGGTTTTTCGACTGTAGTCGAAACCTCACACTGATTCTGCAATTCAACCCTAAAAATGGACGATAATCCACACAGTCATCATACAGTGTATTGGTTTTAAACGGATGCGTAAAAGTGAAGGTGACCGTGATCAGACACACAGAGCAACGGACGAACAGTAAACACAACATGCCGCTTCGCAAATGAAGTCATCAGTTACAACGGAAAGCACAAGAAACAAACAAAATGTTGTAGAGAAATACACAACTGGGAAAGAATATATATATATATGCGTGCATATATACATATATTTGCATATAAATATATTAGTCTATACAGTATATATATATATTTATGTATAAATATACATATATGTATACATA